AGACTAACAGCTACTCTAGTAATAGGGTAACTAGTAATCTGTGATTGCCGCTGTCACTGTGACCCCAGACGAACGTTACCGCGTGGGTCAAAGCGTCCCGGCTTCCGTTCGGTAGGGTTAACCCACTTTGATTCTTTTCGATAATCACCCGCTAATGCACTGTGGCCGTTTGGGTTTTTCAATGTTTTAAATAATGGGATAAGAGGGTAAACTTTTATTGTATTTTGTTTTACTAGATGAAGAATGGTTTTTCTTTGTGTTATTGTTTAGTTACATATATATAAATAGAATGTATGATACAATATTTTTACTAGCCAGTATTAAAAGTTATTAAGTAAGGAGTACCTATATAGTCAAATCGGTAACTGTTTCTTAAGATTTCAACTCTACCAAGCATATTCTTCTTCTATAGAGAGAAACTGTACTTTCTAGGAGCAGAAAAACCTACAAAGCTCTGTGATTTTACTTCTTTCAAGTTGCTTTTACATAAAAGAACAGTTCAAAAGTACAAGTGAAGATATTATAACAATGACACTAATCAATTTTATCTTAATACATTTAAATTCAAAATCTAGAAACTGAGATCTTGATGAACTAATCCCGGTAAGGCCGCCAATTGTACAATAACTTGTTTTACTTTCTTTGTGTGACTGTCCCTAGAATATAACTCATACAAACTGTAATATAAGTGTATCCTTTTTTCTTGTACAATAAAGAGTTATCTAATTTTGATAACCGGATGGCGTAGGGGTTTGTGTAACGGACTGTTATTCCAAAGGTCGCGGGTTCGATTACCGAATTCAAATATTTGTGTAAATGAACATTTAATGTTTGATTTGGTCTGGGTGTTTCTATGTATTATATGTATGTATTTACAAAAAAAACTATATAAGTATTTATATCAGTTGTCTAGTACCCATAGTACAAGCTCTGCTTAGTTTGGGACTAGATGGCGTTGTGTGAATGTGTTAGAATATTATTATATTATTATTAAATTTTGATTACTTTTTTATTCTCATTGTAACCATATATTATCTCTGGGTTATAATAATTCTTTTGGAGTAATAGAGTATATTTTGAAGACACCTTTTATTTATTTGGTACATCTTTCTGTAAAATTATTACTACTATTGACGGGCCTGTTGGTCTAGTGGTTAGTGACTCTGACTGGTAAGCCGGAGGTCGTGGGTTCAATTCCCGCCCAGGACAAAAATTGTGTGATGAGCACGGTCATTTGTTCTCTTTTTAGGTGTAATTTTTCTAAAATATGTATGTATTTAGAAATATAGAAGTATGTTTATCTGTAGATTGGTTACCATAATCAGGCTCTGCCTAGTTTGGAACCTAACTGTATGTGAGCACATCTCACATGAATCTGAATCATCTCATCTGAAGTTATTGTTATTTATTATTATTATAATGGCGAAGCTTTGAATCAATGAATTTTTGATACTCGATCGTGCTAGAAGAGCTGTACGGATACAGGAGAAAGACCATACAAAGTCATTAAATAGATTATAGTGTGGTATTGCACAAAGCTACTTTCATCCCTCCGAATAATATTAACAAAATCGACATTAGTACGAATAAAGCTATGGGCAAACGCTAATTACTTCGTCCTTTGCTTAGTCCTAGCTTTTCTGAATCAAACTGTGCAAAAATTAATCAAGATCCATTTCACATATTGTACTATAATTAAGTAACCAGCATTCATCCATTTTTTTTTTCAATTACAATAGTAATAATACAAACATATTAGTAATTAGCTTTTGCTCACGTTAATTTCAATTTTGTCAATTTATTTGGCCGGAGTAAATAGTACTCTAGACTATAATTTATCTATAGGCCAAATCTCGTCCACATCCAGTAAGCCGCTTTGGCGTGATTCAGGAACAAACATACTTACGTTTTTAAAAGTGATATAAAAAAAATTGTGTCCCATTCAATCTTGCACTCTTTTTAAGGGTAAATTTGAAAAAATTATGACTACGTTGTTTATTACTTTTAATAAAAAGTATTTACTGTGACTGAAAACGCTACTACTAAAAACCAAATCAAAAATTTTGCACGGCATTTTTGAAATCCTTTCTAAGTACATGCTTATGCTATGGAATATTTGTGCAAAATTTCATTCTTCTAGACCCAGCGGTTTCATTTGTGATCGGTCAGTCAGTGAATCAATCTGGCAGTTTTTTCTTTTATCATCATCAGCCTATCGCAGTCCACTGCTGGACATATTCCTCTCCCATTGCACTCCACTTAGATCGATTTTGGGCTTCTCGCATCCAGCTCCTGCCAGCCATCTTGCGCAAATCGTCACTCCACCTGGCCTGTGGACGTTTACCGAGACGCGGTCTTCGGTTTCTTTTATACATGTAGATTAACCACAATCCTATGATAGTTGATTCACTGTAAATTAAGTTGTAATGTTTGTTGATGATCCTATGCCCGGGTAATCATAAAGTAAACTAATCACCAATGGCGGTGCTTCGACCATGGCAATAAACAGCCCATTATAGTACATTGAACATTTTGAACAAGCCGGCTGGCAAGTTTATACGGCAGTTAATGTTGTGGAAACAGCAACAATAGTTAGTGTCGCGATTAGACCGTTTATATTATTGTGTACTGAGTATTGATTTAGATGTTTAGCTATACGAATTCAACTAAACACAGTATTTGAATGTAGCTATCATAATCTGTGTATAATGTACCCGTACCTTTGCAAAATTACAAATATATCGACTGCACGGATGGCGTAGTGGTTTAAGCGGTCGCCACGCTACGCCACGTTGTGGGTTCAAATCCCAAATGGGACGACACTTTGTGTGATCTACAAATTGTTGTTCTGTGTCTGGGTGTACTTTGTGTCCGTTTCATGTATGTTTGTAAAGTCTCCCGCGACACAGGATTTATTCCTAGTACGGGAGTTGTCTTTAAAAAAAAAATCGTTATGATATGTAGTGTAGCACATCAACAGGCATCATATAAGATAGGTTTTCTGGATTTTATTTATATATTTTAAAAGGTATGTTTGTTTAGAATAGAATGGAGGCTTAAAGTTTGAATAACCTAGAACGAAAGATAGTTGTACCTGTTCTCTTCTTTCAAAAACTTAATTAAGTTACAGTCATCAGTGTTAAGTTGTATATCTCATGATATACATACAACTCTGGGCCTCTCCTTAGAAAGGAGTTATTACGCTGGGCAAACGGATTAGTACAGGGTTTGTGTCAAGCTATCTATGCTTTTTCTTGAAAAAATATTGCCCTGTTTGCTTTGTTTGATCTAATGTGTTTACCAAAACACCACTTCTCTGGAGAAAATTTCTCAATATAAGCCAAGCTAGTTCGAGCACGTCAAGGTGGGCTACAAACATTATCGAGACCAGTAACGCATTTCTAATTTACTTGTGTGCTAATTAAGTCAAATTTAAAATATAAAAACGTTTACATAAAGCTTCAGGAATCAAGTATACAATTATATTTTGACTTGTCCTGGTGCATAAGTCTATAACATGACAGTTCAAGATACACTGAATGTAAAAACCAAAATAATAAATTAAAACCTATAAAAAATAATTTTAAAGTCTGACGAACGGCGGAGTCTAAGTAATTTATTTTGCTTGAAAATAAATAATAATTTAACGCTACGGTGACTATAAATAACTAGTTAACTATAACACAACATCTAAGTATTCTAAGATCGTAAGTATTCCAAGTCTTATTTCATAAGACTGATTAATATTTTTTTCAGTTTCTTATTTGACTACAATAATATTGTTCAGAGAAAATTATAAGTATATACCTCATTGTTTTGTCACAAAATACTTCTCTTTTCATTGCAGTCAAAGATTGAGTAAGGAGTTCTAATTGTATTCAGGAGTTTTCAGAATTTGCGGGTTGGGTAACCAATTGTGCGGATTTATTGTAAACCAACTCTGAAACGAAATGTACTGTATTGTGTTCTGTAAAGGCTCTTCTAACCAGTGCTTCTCTAGAGTAATAACTATTTAAACAAAAGTGTCACTATTTAGTTAATAAAATGACAATATAGAAAACTAAAGCAATAAGACAGCAAACAGCTAACATAAGCATCGTGGCAAGAGACGATCTCGATTCTATTTCACACTCTGCGATCAAGGCAACTTTTTCAATTTCCTTTAGAAATAGGAGCGAAACGGACCGCGGGCGGCCGTCAAACGATAAATGATTATAACTATGACGTCGAGGAAACGAGCCGAGGCGCCGGTGTAATGAGAAATAAAGCGAAAAAATCCACCAGCCAGGAAGCGAGAAAGCTTCCTACTTTATTTTTTGTTCCTTTTATTGATTAAAAAACTTCCCTAATCATATTTCTCGTTCGCCTTGGGAGAGATAGTTAGGTTATCGGATGTGCGAGAATTCTGTTGATTATATTTTTGTTTTCATCATATCAGTCTTCGGGAGTTTAATGGGGAGTCGCGACTAACTTTCGTGAATACGTAAAGAACATCAAAAATATTCATTGTGTGCTATCGAATAAAACTACAGATAGGGATTAATCTAGCCACATCTCCCCTCATTAATTACCGCCATTTATAAATATTTCTTTTAATTTTAGCCACTGTTTAATTTGTTTGGATGTGAAACAATGTGGATCATTAAGAAGTTAGCAATAACTTATTTAAGTCACTGGCTTTTTTCCGCGGCTCCGCCCGCGTAAATGTCGGTATCGCGATAAAAAGTAGACTATGTCTTTTCTCACGAATCAAAGTATGTCCATACTAAATTTCATCTAAATTCAGCGGTTATTGATCCCATACAAACTTCCACAACCCTTTTCATCCCCTTAATTAATGATGTATTTTATAAAAAAATACCCTATGTCCTTTCCTGGAACTTGAACTATCTTTATACCAAATTTCATCTAAATCGGTTCAGCGGTCTCAGCGTAAAGAGGTAACAGATAGATAGACACACTTTCGCATTTATAATACTTCATTTCATTTTGTTTCACAGAAACTCAAGTTCAACTGTCCGCCCTTGTTTACGGTGGAGCGTATCATGAGCAGCTCCTGCGGCAGCAGGATCTGTGTGTGGGGTTCCAGAGGTGTGACCATCGCTGAACTGCCATCCCGATGGGGACGGGCAGGGTTCTTTGATTCCGGCAACAAAAATGCATTATGCAAGTAAGTGTAGCTTTAGAGATAGCATTCTTAATAATCTTAAGTAGGACTGTTGCTGTTTTATTTAGGCATCTTGAAATAAAGCCTCCAGTAAATTAAAGTAATAAAATGTTTATAAAATAACCAATCTTTTAAAAGAAACATAAAAAATCTTTAAATGTTGCTACGACTTTACAATATTCACAACGTACCGTCATTACTGGGGTTATGGACCCTTATACGATGTTCTTGAAGATTCTCCCATTTCTCTTAGAAAAATTTTGAGCTTTCCTAAGCGTGACGAGAGGAGGGTTACGTTGTCCCACACATCGTCCGAACTCTTTTGAACCTGCTACAGTGAGCTCCATGGCTGACCATCCATTCAGGTAATGGTCTACTCAAAGATCCCAATCGGACCTGAATTGATTGCTTTCAAGAATATAATAAAATAAATATTGGCGAAATTCGCACACATAAAGTCACGTCTTCATCCTCGAGGGTTGGCCTGGCAGGCCTGGCAGGCCTATAGTTTTAGTTCCATTATAAAGGAGCAAATCTATTGCCATATTGCCAGCCAAACGATTTTTTTCCCCAAGACCCAGACTCGGAACATCAATTTATGGATCACACAAAGTGTCATCCATTGTGGGGATCGGACCCACAACACTCGGCTTAGTAGTAATCGGCGAGGTGACCTCTTAAACCACTAAGCCATCCGTGCAGTCTAATATGTATTTAATTAATAAACTGACATTACTTTTTTATAATATTAATAGAATAGAATCATCATCATCATCAACAGCCTTTACTAGTCCACTGCTGGACATAGGCCAATCCTTAGAAAAGAGATTAGAATACTCCTTAGAATAGAATAGTTCTTACTAAAATAATATGTTTAAGAATCTTCTTACAATTAACTTTGCTTTTCGTTTAAATTTCCAAAATCCTATTACTTCTTCTATAATATACTTTACCATGCCATTAAACTTTGAAACACCAGACAGTTTACCACATAACACAAACACAGGCAATATATTGCAACAAATTTCAACTATAAAATGAAGGCTTAACCTCGTCTAGTGAAGAAACTAAACACCTGAAATCTAATAAAGCCTGATAAGTTCCTGAGAAAGCTGGCACGTAAGCATCGTGTATTTTCTACTATCACGGTAAATTTTGTAACCTATTAAACTTCTCGAAGCGGCTATAATGTTAGCCCGAGGTAACGATTAAGTCATAGATTATTGTTTAGATGACAGTATAAAAGGACTGGTATTTTCTTTGTTGCATTTTTATATTACGAGTATAACAGACGGCCAGTTACATCATCATCATCAACAGCCTATAACAGTCCACTGCTGGACATAGGCCTCTCCTTAGAAAGGAGGTTTTGGCCTACTATACCACGCTGGCCAGACGGGTTGGTATAGGGTTTGTGTCAAGTTTACCTTCTTTTTGTAGTGCTGGTGTCCTGCGTTGTTTTGCTCCCTTAGTCGGCTCTTACGACACCCACGGGATGAATTGGGGTAGTGAAATTCCGTATTCTTAATCCGTCACTACACGGACAGTTACTGACTGACGGCGAGTTGATGACTATCAATCATCGTTCGTGTCATCATAGAAGTCATGTATGATACGCAACGCAAGTACAACTCTTTTCTCTTGTTATATTTGTCCGAATAATTTGTTGTATGGTTAATTATTGAATAATGTAAATATAGGTGTCTAGTTTTAGTCAATAAAAGTTTTAAGTCCACGCAAATACCAATACCAACAACAACTTCATTTAAAAACATTATAGAGATCTTTGACTTAGTGTAAAACTAAATACATCCTCAGCCATTTAGAATAAAAATGAAAGAAAAATCCTATATTCTCGCAGCTCACAATCAAACCAAATGAGTCTTAACCATTGAGTTTTATGGCAATTCCTTGAAATACACATTATATATATAATACAACTGCATTGATGAATTGCTTAATTAGAATGCACTGATGAATTCTAATTAAGTTATTATAATATTGACATATAAATTGTTTCATTCGAAATTTTAATTGTATAAAAATACTGTATGCAAAAAATGTATCGCTTTAGTTAATGGAAATTAAATTCAGTTGTTAAGTTGTATCTACCTACTTATATACCTACTAAAATCTAAACCATGTTTGACCATGTTTTTCGAAATAAAAAGATTACTTTTATCTTTAAAGTTAGAAACAGGTCAAGATGTAGCTACATCTATGAGTTCCAGTCTCCTTAGGCATAAAACAAACCCAACTCAATTAGTTATCTAGTCTCAGTGTTTCGCGCGCCCGAGTCACCACTCTTTTGTACATGTTATTAGGCGGCTATATCTCGAAATTTGCATATTTCGGCAGTAAAATTAATTCGAAGATTTGCCCGCATCCACCATCCAGACTGGGGTATCAAGGGGTGGCTTTCGTAATGTTTTTGGATTTCTGCATTACAATATATACATACCGATACTTATTGTGGTTGGAGACGGGTAAAACAGTTTTATTCGAGTCGATGAGTTTCAATTAAGTTTCGATTGAGTTTATGATAAGTAGGTTTAAGAATCTCTTGATTTTTATTCACAAGGGACAGTGTATTGTGTTTTTATAACCTTAATAAATAAGAGGAGGATTTTTGTTGTCATTTTGAGGTCGACCTTGAAAGACTGCACGGATGGCGTAGTGGTTTAAGCGGTCGCCACGCCGCTTCCTACTACGCCGAGTGTTGTGGGTTCAGACCCCACATGGGACGACACTTTGTGTGATCCACAAATTGTTGTTCTGAGTCTGGGTGTTCTTTGTGTCCGTTTCATGTATGTTTGTAAAGTCCCCCGCGACACAGGATTTATTCCTAATGCGGGAGTTGTCTTTTTTTAAAAACAAAAAAAAACATAAAGGCCTTAGCTTGCATAAAAGGTCTAATAAATGTAGAAACAAGTTCTTGATGTTGATGATGTTCTTGATGTATCTAAAATTACTTAAACAGGATAGCTTTTTTAAAAGTGACACGTAGTCTAGAGCAGTATCTTTAAACGCATCCATTACACTTGACGATAGTAGAACCAGACTGAACCAAGTGCCATTTTTTTCAAATTATCGTTTTTGTCATAACGGCATGAACAAAACACAATTCTTTAATACGAGTACCATAGTGATCCAAGTGCTAATAGTACTATTATTCTGGAGAATGGCATATCTCTCACTGTAGAATTTCTGACTGCCATTGTCATTATCATTTTGAAGACCCAAGTGATTATTTTAGTGTAAAACTTTAATTTGTGCTGCTATTAATTTAAAATATTTAAGGAAACATTATTATAAGTTCAATACAACATGTTAGGCATCATTTTATTAAATATTTAATAATAATGAGGCATTCCGTTTTTCACAACAAGTACAAACACGTTCTCTCGTTTTCTCAAAAAGACAAAAATACTGAGATCAGTCTGGTTCTACCAACGTCACTTATGAATTGCAACTGAAATCAAAACAATCAATTGGTTCGAATAAAAAATGAACTCGTATATATATTTTAGCACTTCATACATAACTACATATCTTATATTATGAACTCACAAAACAAATATGATCTATCTAACTAAAATGTTTGATGTTTGTACGTTGCAACACCGAAATAATAGGTTAACATGCAGATTAATATCCCCAAAATGCAGTCAAGCCGCCATCTTAAAAAATACACAGCTTCTTCTAATCCAGACGACGTTAACCCTTCCAAAGACTTATGATTATCGCAGTTAACAGTTCGCAGCTCGTTAGTATTAATCCTTACAACTAATATTAGCAATAAACGGGCCCCTTCAACTAATTATGCTAAGATGTTCTGCCGTCTTACCGGCGTGTCTGCACCCAGGATTTGAGTTTTATGCTCAGCTTACACTTCAGTGTGCATGGATGATAGTGTAGCATTTTGACATCAAACAATTTTAATGCAGTTTTGTATACTGCAGATATTAGCATATATAGCATATATTCTTGTTAAAGGGTTAAGTATTTTAGATGTCATATCATAAGTTTCTAATTGTACGGGAATTACCAGGCCAGTGCAACCTGGACAAAACTTCAGTCAATATAGGAGGTATTTGATACGTAATTTGTTATTGCGTTAATTCCTGTACCGTTAGATAATCATATATGATGGGATTCGAAAGTTTAAAAGTTAGCATTAATTCCTAAGTACGGATTATTATTTATGATATAGTTATGCAACAACCACAACAGAAACCTTCGTTCGGCCAACAATCTTCTTCTACTCTATCCTTCTCACACCACTGGGTTTGTCGGCTCTTCGTTCTTCGTCCAGGCTGTCCTCTTATGGAATGCGCTTCCTCACGAAGTCAGGATGGCTACAAATCGGTACTCTTTTAAGACGAAAGTGAAAGAGCTATTGCTGAGCGAAATGGCAGATTCAACGAGCTCCTAGTTCATCGGCAATTTTTTTTAATTTTTTATTTTTCTCATATATAAATGTGTACGTGTATGTATATATGTATGAGTATGTATATGTATATATATGTGTATGTGTGTGGTATTACGACCTATACACCAAATTCCAAGATAGTTGGTATTTAACAAAACCGCTATCGTTTATTACCCTACCATAAATGCACCTACCTCATTCTTTCTCAGCATCGCCCAATCGGTCGACTGGCAGAGAATGTCCTAGGCATTAAGTCCGTCGATGCATGTTTTTGTGCAAAAAGTTATAAATATATTATTTTGAGGAGATACTTTGTTCTTACAAATCGCAGTTTCCAGACGTTTGGTGTTGAGTTAGTTTGAATAGAAGGAGAGTGAAGAGTTTATTTATATGTGTTTTTTTCTGAAATGCCTCATTGACGGTGGAAAAATAGAATATAAAGTATTATTATATCCTCAAAAAAAAAACACTGAAATATATCACTATAAACACTAAAATCAGGGAGTAGCAATAGGGATATCTAAAATAGCTCGTAAATTGTTTGAAAACAGCTTATCAGTGCAGTTGTTGA